AAGTCAGTGGGCCTCTGGTCACCAACCTGGAGGATGGCAAAGCTGTTCCCAACCATGTGGGAAAGGCCCCTGCTGCCTCAACAGAAGATCCTGAGAAGCTGGTTCCTGCTTCATCTGTGGAGGGTGAGGGTGAGAAGCTTGCAACTGGTGAAGATGCAAGCTTGGGTGAAGTGACATACTTTCCTCGTCCTGACGGCGCCCTCGAAGGAGTCAAGCCAATTGCACCTGGTGACCAAAAGCCTAGAAAGCCTCGTGGGCGCAAACCTGGTCAAGGGCGTGGACGAGGGCGTGGTGGATGCAATGGCAAAAAAACAGGGCGAGGAAAGGGGAAGGTCGAAGAGGATGAGGAAGCTCCTATGGATGATCCTTCGGAATCGCCTCCGACTGGGGCAACTGGGAGCGATTGCACTGAGCATCCTCGCAGGCGCAGAAGGTCGGCGGCAAAGGAGGAGAAAACAAGTGAGAAGAGACGCTCAAGGAAGCAGGCTGAGGATGCAAAGCCCAGTCACCAAGTGAGAAAAACAAAGGGCAAAAGAAAGCAAGAAGCGGAGGTGGAGGATCCTCCAAAGTCCGAAGGGGTCGCTGTTGAGGGCAAGAAGAAAAGGAGGTCGTTTTCATCCTGTCGATCACCGGCATCCGCATCGGCCACTACTACATGCCCAACATCAGTGGCTACAACTCCAGCTTCCTCCTCGGCCCCGTCCGCGGCATCTTCCTCCAATGGGAAGGCTTGTAGGAAGAGCAAGGGCAAGAAGCGAACCAAGAAGGATGGAAAGGTAAAGTCTGTTCCCAACACGTCTGAGGAGCTGGATAAGAAGAAGATCCAGTCTCGCAAAAGCAGTGCATACCACACCGCAATGCGCGCTGCTCTTCGCGATGGGAAGACTCCGGATGAGGCAAAAGCCCTTGCCAAGGAAGTACCTTGCATGGATTTTATAGCGCACATAAGAAGAGATGCAGTCTGTGTTTTGGTTCTCGAGTCATATCTACATAGCGTGTTTCTTATAGCGCTAGTAAACTCTATTGCACCAAGGCGTACCACAGCGTGACCATCGGCTGAAAGCTTTTTGGAGGTGAACTATTTAGATCCATTGGTGGCCCAACACGGCTGGGTGTAGAAAGTTCTTTCTACTTAGGGGTTCAGCAGTGGGCAATCGACCCATGTTGGAAGCTGTGCGCGGTCCAAGTCCAAGGGGATAAAATAAATCATGCATGATCTTTGCTCCCAAGTTCTTCAAGTGCGCATGGGAAAGGGTAGGCCATCAATAGATCAAGATGTGTCCATGGCTTTGGTAGGTCAGCCATGCTTTGGATGAGAGCGCGGGGCGCTGGTCTATCCTGGCCTGCTTCGTCATTTGCACGTTCTTTTCACATATGCCAGTGTGATTGAACCTCTAACATCGAGGATATTTTTGTGGATCAAAAAGCCATGGTACAGTACCACATGGTTTTAGCCATGTTCTCTTACTGCCCGGTTTCCAACTTGCAACACGTGCAAGCCCCAAAGGCCAGGTTGTGACCTAGGAAAAAACAAAAACATGCAAGTGTGCATGTATACAATATGCACGTACCGTGTGACGTGTGGGCAGGTACTCATCGCTTTAGCTTGAAACTTACTTGCAGTGCAAGTATGTGCAAGTGACTGCTGAGCCCTGAGTTCTGAGTTTTGTTGTTTAGGTCCTTCTTGTTGGCTGGATGGACCTATCCCAAGATACTTTCGATGTGGTCGAAATTTTTGCGGGAAAACAAGCTGTTACCAGAGCTATGTGCAGGACTTAGACTGTACGTTGAGACATGTACCCAATCAATATGCATGGGTATATGTGCCAACTGTCTTCCTTTTCGATTCAGCTTTCAGGCATGAAGCCGGCTACCGCTGTGCTTCGTATGACCGTGACTTGAGCCCTTCTATGGATTTTCTTACTGCCTCTGGGTTCTTGAGCCTAGGAAGAATTAGTAGGGATACCAAGTAGTCTCACCAACCAGCCAGCACTTGTGCTGACTCAGCTTCCGGCCTAGGGTGGCTTTGGCGGCCATCATGCGGCTTCCTGTGAATGGGCTGGCGATGTTCGCACCAGACTGCTCGAGCTGGGGGGTCCCAGCCCGGGGCACAAGTCTGCGCTCCGCCATCAACGTCTTTGGGAATGTGTTCTTGAGCTGGGTAAACAGATCTGGATGTATGGTCTCCCGGATTCCTGGTTGCTTCTATGGGGGTACCGGTGGGGGATTTGAAGTGAATGTAGCCCAGGCCAAGCCCCGTGATTGAAACTGTCTAAGTGCTAGCTAGCAGGGCAAGTTTGATCGAGAGTTATGCAAGGATCCAAAACATTCTAATTACCCCCCTTCCTTTTGGGCGAGCCCTTTCTCAGCCGATTCTGCTAAGAACCGTGCTCTTGATTTTGGTGACTGCCTCCCGCAATGCTTTATGGGTGCTGGAACAACCGCATGGATCGATTCTTGTCCGGCACCGCCGCTTTGATTGGATGGTAAACCATGTGATGTATGCACTTTGGAAGCACTTTAAGTTTTGCAAACCGGACTCCCCAACCAATCTCTTGGATTCCCGCTGGCTGCAAGTACCCCTAGGTCTATTCTTGCAGCTTTTGGATGCAAAAACATGGTGGCAAAACACCCAAGCGAACCACGGTTTACAGCTGCATGAACGATATTCAGCTTTTGGATCTGGGCACCCTTACGAAAGCAGAACGTGAACAACGCGCTGAAACTGAAACTCCTCTTGTTCGAACCCTGGTTGCACTAAATGAACTGCACTCTATAATTTCGATCTATTGTATGGTAGCAGGTGATAGTTGAACCAGCCGAGGAAAGTATATAGGCAAAGATGGAAAAAAGAGATTTTCTGGGAACAGAACCGCCCTACGTATGAGCCAGTGCTTTAGTTGCAGTTAGCTAGATCACGTCGGCTAATTTTATGGGTCAGGCTTGAACCTTGCAGATCTGAGGGCATACCCGGACGGCTTCGGAAGAAATCTGCGACTGGCCTGGGAGAACCATATGGCATCCAGACCTGAGCGGAGAGAGTTGCGGTTCAAACCACAACCACGCAAAGATCTCTCCCCACCAGAACAGTTCATGAAACTTCCCCTTGGGGACTGCTGGCCAGATGCATCCTTGGGGGAATGTCTCCAGTACTGCTTCCAATCAAAGCGGTTGAGGTGGGGTCCATGACATGTTCATCATAATGTTCAGGCATCAAACAACTTGCTAGCCAGCTGCTAGCTGCTATCTTGTGGAGGATTCCTTCTGATTGGGTTCAGCCCATGGAGACCTTTTGGCAAGAATTCCAAGATCAGCAGGCCATGGACTCTGGACCTTCGAGATATATAGGGGCACCGATCGAGTATTTTTTTGGCGCAGGTGTTGTTCCAAGACGACGTTTCCACGCAGATTGAGACCATCCTGAAGGATGCTCAAAGTTCACAAAGCTCAGCCTAGGCACAGCCTAGGTGCAGTGCCTAATTCATGCAGTTTTCTACCAACAGTGGCTTTGCAATCCTTTAACAGTCAGCTTCAGACCCAAGGCGTAGTAATTCATGTTAACTCTTTACCAGCAGTGGTTTTTAATGGTTTCCACAATGCCTTGACACCCTTCTCCCACAAAAAACGTGCACTTTTTGATTTCGAGTATCACTGTTGGCAAATTATAGCATCCTATGTCCAAAAACAGGCCGCAACTTCGAGCGCAATTTCGCGCAACCGAGCGCAAATACGCGCAACGAGGCGCAAATCTAAAAAGTGCTCCTTTGACAACCACAACATGAAAAAAACGAGCAGATTTCTGACTGTGCACTGTTGTGGTGATTGGCTTCCACTAGTTCCCAACTATATAGACAACTTTTGGCTTCAAACACGAGTGAACCAGTGGATGGCACTGAATTCTCGGCCTTCTTCTAGCAATACGTTGGTTGAGGGCATGAAGGACATCAGGTATGGAGGAGATGAGGCTCCCACATCGTCTCGGAAGCGTGAGCTGCAGGCTTTGATTCAGGCGACCTGCACACGTTAAGGTTCTGCAACAATCTTTTTCATGCCGGCTATATTGCATGCATATATGCGCATGTTGTGTCGTCTGTAGGGAAGGGGGGGTATCCTAAGGCGAGTCAAGAGAGGATTGCCGCATTACGACGCAAACTCTCAAATCAAGCCAATGGTATTCATCCTGAGCCTGAAGTCCCTGGAGCCCCCCACACTGCTCAAGCCTCTGGCCACTTCAGTGCCGGAAACCCTGACAATGAAGTTCCGGACACCCTTGTGGTGGAGGAATCCCAAGCATTGCCAGAACCAACGGTGGGGTCCGCGGCTCCCACAAGGCTGTACCAGTCTTTTCCGGTTGCGACCCATCAGCCCGAAGATTCTCAAGCCAGTTGGCCACCTGTTGGAAGGTACAACTTCAATGAGACACCTTCTCCTAAGCCAGACCTTGTCCAACCACCCACGACTTCACCTCCAACTGCGACTTCACCTTCCCCAGTTCCACCCGCACCTCCAGTTGCCCCCGAACCTGCACCTCCAGTTCCCCCCAATCCAGAACCTGCGCCTCCAGTTGCCCCCAATCCTGAACCTGCAGTTGCCACCGCTGAACCTTTGCTGGTTGTCCCCAATGCTGCACCGTCTCCAGGTGTCTTGAGCCCACAACTTCCTTCCAACCCTGGACCAGCTGCTCCCAACGTGGCTCACAGCCCCCCAAGCAGCCGCAAAGCCCATCCCACCACAAAGGGTGGCACCAGAACTTCCAGCCTCACACTCCGACCTGTCTGTGGATGTAGACGACTCTGTGTCAATGGCCGTTGCATCATCATCAGCAGACGATGCAGGCAAAAAGGATCCTTCTTATTGGAAGCTACTAAACAGCAAACTGTGTTCAAAATGAATTAGGCAACCTCTCTTGATGAACACTGTCGTGAACACCCCTAAGGCTGTACCGGTATTTCACTCCTAAAGCTGATGGCACACTGAAATGCTCACCTGAAGCTTTGAAGATGTGGAAAGACCGGGACGGACGTGCTTTGGTGATAGTTAGGGAATCGTATCAATCGTGTTGTGTTTGCTTCTTCTTGGAGATGAGTTCTTTTGAGAGATCCCTCCCACTAGCCGCATATTAATTTCTTTGTAGCTGGGCCTTATCGGTTGTGGGGTCATAAATATATAACCAAGGCAAAGAGCTGAAGAAGATGTTTGAGCAGAATGGGAGTTTTGCGACCTTGGAGATCCGCATTAGGAAAAAGCACACAAACCGCAGAGAGATTACGAAGGGAGGAGGGTGGTATACCAGGCATGTTCTCGAACATACACATGGATGGAGCAAGACGAAGCCTTAGTGTGTGAGGGGGTGAATGCATGCAGTGTACCATGTGCATTATGCATGTGCTTATTGCCGACCAATATGTATGTGTTTGTGTGCAATCATGCTGAAGGAAAATGATCGATAAAGCGTTTGCATGGGCTGAAGCCAATGGGAAGCTTCGCATCAACAAGATCCATGGAGAACCTGAAGCCTTCCTAGTTTTATCGGAAGGTTTCGCTTTGACATCCACGGATGTTGAAGAGACGGAGCAATGTGGAAACATCGCGGTGGAGGATGGTGATGTGCTTTCTTTTTTGTCCTCACTACATGCATGGATTCACTGCACCATACGTGTTGATGCACACAAAACCCCAAAGTTGGTGCAGGGTCTCAACCTATCGAATTCAACCCTCCTTTCTGGGATCGAAGTTGTGTCTAGGATGAAGCTGGCACTTTGTTGGATAGCGATCTTCCTGACATCAACGAATCCGATCCGGCAGCCTTGTTGTCAAGTCAGCTTGCAGCCAGCAGCAGCGGTGGCGCTGGAAGCTCCTCAGGCGGCCCGAGCCCGCTTGATACGAGCCAAGTCATGAGCTTTAAGACCCTTGCCAGAATGAAACGCATGTGGTTCCAATCTATGTGTACCTATTGAGAGCGAAGACTCGCTCCCATGCATAAAGGGTTTGAAGCTATAGATTCCTTAGATCAACAAATTCAAAAGGGATGTCTTGAGGGGACGGTGTATCTCAGGATGACTTTTCCGGCGGTGGTGGCCACAGCAAGTCCGCTGTCTGTGCTGCCCCAGTTCGTTGAAGTCTTGGGCAAGAAGATCGACAAGATTCAAGCTGAGTTGGACTGCTTCTCATGTCATGATCATGTCAATCAAAGCTATGCAATGCTCTTTTAAAAGACCAGCTAGGTAGAACCCTCAAGGAACAAGTCTGGATGTCAGGACCGCTTGAAAGGGATCAAAACCACGGGTGCAACCACGTTCCCTGCTTGCATTATGCTCTACATTTGCCAGGTCAACATGTGTGCCAGTCAGATTTCATGATCAATTACCCTTCCTCATCCAAATCCTGCCCACGTCAGGCTTGTGTCAACCATGTCTCAGCACCTCACGAAGATGCAGAACATGTACACGAAGTTGGCCGACCTCATGTCCGAAGCGACTGTCAACCCGGAAAAGCTTGACAAGCAACCTGGAATACCAATGGTTTTCTCTTGGGAGCGATTGAATTGGTTTAGTAAATCCATACGCACGGGACCTATGACCTATAGATATATAGATTTGCACTTGGAGGCCCACTCGTGACGAACTACAACAAAACTTTGTGACTTGCACCAAGCTGGATGTTGCTATGAATAGCCTTCTCCAGCGTGGAAAGACACTTGCCAGTACTTTGTTATGTGTGGTCATGCAACTACCCGTTCGATGATTTTTGTTTGCATCTACATACGTTGATGTGGGTTTCACATGGTGCATTGAACCAAGGGGTATGAAATCGACTACTTCTTCCGTGGCACCCAAGGGGGGAGTGAAGCCAAAAATGAAAGCAAAGGCTAAGGCTAAGGGCAAAAAGCTCGCCGATACTGCCTGATAGGGTTATCGCAGTTGTTCCAGCTGCGTGCTTGGGTTTTCATATTGCACATGAAGTCTACGTTGTTTTCTTCTAGCACATGGATCATGTATGGTTCTTTGAATCTCTGTATACTTTGTTGTGGTTCTGGTGTGCGATATGTTGAAGTTGCTGTGGCAACTCAATATTTACCACCTTTGGTGTGGCATTGGGATGAAACGCTAGCGACAAGTGAGAAAAATATAGGCGTAGCATTTGAGACAGGATCTCGCATGTTCACTTGAGAAGCGAAGCGATTTTTCAATGAACCAGAAACACAGGCTGTTTGGTAAACTTTTGGGTACAGCACATGCAGTCTTGATTCTGTTCAAGCCAGGTCATCGCGATGATGACCTCGTTGATGGACACTTGGCTGAGCCAAAGCGTACAGGTTTCTCCATGAGTCTGTAATCCTTCAATGGCACCGGCGACTGAAAGCTTGTCAGAGTGTGGAAAATCATTGACTGACTTAAACGGCCCAAGGGCTTTTACACGCATTACTGCCCAAACGCGTGTTCAGCAAGCTTGGACAAGAACTGTTTGCTCCATCTATCTAAGGAACCAATGGAGATTCCTCAGACTCTGCTGCGGAAGCTGTCTGCGATCATGCGGTTGAAGGCTTTGCGAGGGGGGTGCCTCGTCTTTCACAGATACAGTACGGGGGTGATAATGTTTCATGGCTATTGGCATCCTAGCTTGTACTTTTTTGACCAGTGGTGCTGCCTCAAGGCCAGTGCAAAAGATACGATGCTGCAAATGGAGAAGACTCAGAAGCTCCTGGAAAAACATGGAAACTTGGTTTAATAGTGTGCATGTGTATGTGCATGTGCGTGTATCTTTTCGCCATAGCGTGATCACCCCAGGAGTGTTCGACACGAAAGTCAATGAGATGGTTCGTGTCTCCCGGAAGAACCTGAAAAAAAAGAATGTCAGCAGGAACTTGCACAGGTTCATTCACCGGACAAACAGGACTTTGGATGTGCCAGTCTCGTATGTGTCCACGCCAGTTCGGACACGAGTGGCCCGCCGATGGAGCGTTGCTCGCAAACATTGGCCCGTACTGTATTTGTCAGATTGGTTCAAGACCTGCATGAACCATGGAGAGTTTCAAGGTTTCTTCATGTTGGGTGGATACAAACTTCACCAGCTGTCTGATGTAGAGGAAATGCTGGAGACGTTTTGGAAAAACCATGCGTACATCAATGACCACCAACCAGCTGTTCCAAGACGAACCATCCCCATGTATCTACATGGGGATGAGGGACGTGGGCAGGGAAAGCGTCCACTATTGGTCATTGGGTTTCAGCCCATTGTCGGCTGGGCTGGTGTGGAGCATGTGAACTCAAGCAAGTATCTAGGCCAATGCGTTGGTTTTCAATGCATGCATTGTATACTGTCACATGTTTTGCCATACGCATCGTTCTCATCTAAGGCATACATACACCACCCGCTTTTTGTACACCCTTCTGCCTTCGGAAAATTATGTTGGAGGCTCCTCAGGACAATCACTACAATGCTTGATGAGGGCACTTGTTGAAGATTGCCGGATGCTTGAGGTCACAGGTTTGGATGTGGCCTGGTCTGAATTGCTGTCATCCACTCAAATTGTTTGTTTGGCAGATTCCTCACTGTACCTGGCTCATGTTCTTGCTGCATTGCGTCTTGTTTACCCTAGATACTTGCAAGCTAGGTAAAGATTCCAGAGATACCTGGTCGCTCTCCTGCTCGCCAAGAACGCTTTTTCATCAAACTTGAAGGTGTGAAGGGGGATTGGCCATGGCTTAGATCCTGCTTTGGTCTGGCAACAGGATTTACGTCTAAAAGGATTTGCCATATATGTGATGTCCCAGATCCTAGACTTGTATGTATAAGTTTCAGGACGCGTTTTTGGATCAGTGTATGTCTGTGTGCTCCACGGGTATCTGGTGTGCTGTGTCTGTTGATCAGGAATGGTGGGACGTATCAAGCTCTGGGGCCACCAGGTCATGGCCAGAGGATGGGGCGGCGCCCCTTCCTTGGAAGCGAGGGCCCAAAGCCTCCATCCGTGATTTGTTGGACAGTCCCAAATTTGTCTTGATCGACCTGGCACATTCATATGCCATCAGTGGCTTTGGAAAGGATCAATTGGCGTCGTGTATAATTTTCATTGCGGTGCATTGTGCCCTCTGGGGAAAAATGCCCTTTGAAAAGCAGCTTGAGCGCGCCTTTGATTCCTTTTCAGGGTGGTGCTCCACAAACAAGAAGACATCAACCATCCATGAATTCAGCAAGAAGGAGCTCAAAATAACTTCGTTGCCTGGTTTGATGGGTGGTTGTTGTGTGTTTTCCATGTTTGTTTGCCGCCCCTTGTTAAGAAATCCAGGCTCCGGGACTATCCACGGGGCCTTGGAAAAGGTTCTGATTCGGCTTTGGTTGGCGCTTGGCTAGATACCTGTATGGATGCAGTTGACCCATCCTCTTTGCCTGAAACTTTGATGCAATACAGCTGCATCCTTACTTTGGACACTCTGACACTCCTGTCTGCTGGTTTGGGGCGCTTCTCCCTGAGGAAACGCATCAAAGAATCTTTGTGATCGTGCGCTGGATGATGAAACACACAAACATTTTCTTCCGTGCCATCTACAAAGGCCCACTTTGGTTGAGCCGTGAAGTAACCAGGACGATTGTAAACGCCGGGTTTGCAATGTTGGATTCTTTTCTGAACATGGTTTATAAAACACATGCTGCACTGCAGGGTGCTTGTTTGAGGTTGAAGCGTGCACAAACAATGCTGGCCAGCTAAGGAGGGATATGCTGCAGTAGCGCACTTGCGCAAGGACCAAGATTGGTCATTATTCTACATGAGGCCAAAACTCCACATGGCAATGCATGTGGTGTGCCTTTCATGCACCTATAAGTGGGTGTTTGCATGTGTTTGCACAGAAAGGCAAGGTGGTTCAGGTTGTTTTTGATACCTGTGCCCAGGTTGAACCTGCACTATGCCCTGGAAAAGGGGGTCCCCCTCATTTTGAACCCAGCAAGTCGAGGGCTCAACCCCCATCCTTTGGTACTAAACTCTTTCTGAAAACCTCCAAGGTCAAGCCACCTGGAGTGATGAGGATTGGATCGGGCGAATTAGCCGGTCTTCTAGACGCCATTCTCACAACCTGAACTTGTGTTGCACTACCATGACCAAAGTTTTGATCGAGTACCGTCGGCTGTGGCACGACGCACTCAAGAGTGCTGGGAATCCCGGCTGATGATGTGGAAGAGGACTTGAATGCTGGTCGATGTGGAAAAAGAGGAGGTAGTGTGACTGGTGTGTGTGTGTGTGCGAACATGTGGGGAAGGTGTTGGAGACCTACAAAAAACAAAACGAGCAGAAAAAAACAACACGAGCAGATTCACTTCTGGTTCGTTACACAAATCTGCAAAACGAGCAGAATCTACCTCGAGCAGAAATAAGTATAACCAAGGAAGACTTAGGTAGTTCGATGACACGCCTGATGCCTGGCAAACACGCTCCGCGCAGACAGGTTTACAGCGTCAACGTTTATCGTTTTGTCAGTTTGGAGCCAGTGCAGTTGCGAGGTTCTCTGAGCTTTAGGGCTCGAGCCTGTGCCGTTGGGGTTCTCCTTCGTAGCCCAATGGGAAAGCGGAAGTCGAATGAGGGGGCAAGCAGTAAGGTCAAAAAGATAAAGGATGATCCAACCCAGAAGACCTTGGAGTCTATGACACCTTGTATACAAACGTTCAACACTTGGATGTACCTAGTCTTCAAGCGTGTTCAGTTTTTCATATCTTGTGTTTTTGACGCAGTCACAAGGAACATTATGATATTTTGTTGTTTGCTGACTTGGGTGGTGGGGGTGGGGCGGGGGTTTGCTTGTGATTCAGGAAGAAAATCACTGATGAACATGGTTCCTACATGAAATTTGTGGAAGAGCGCTTCAAGTCGAAGCATAACTGTTCATATTTTTACATGTGTTGTAATGGATATTTGGTGCTGTTTGCGTCGCGAAATCTTACATTGGCTATACTGGCTGCATTCTTTATGTGCGTGAGGCGAGCTGGCCAAGCAGCGCCGCTGGCCAAAAAGCCTATGACCAGAACCTGCTCAGTGCTTTGAAGGGCTTAAAGACGGTGGGTGGTAGTGGAGCATTCATCGTGAAAAGGATTTCCATCTGTCATTTTTTGGTTGCTAGAGGTAAGGCCCCAGACCACATACAATACAAGTTTTGCACAAACAACTTCAACCTCGCGCTCAAATTGACACATGAAAAAATAACACTTTGAATTCCACCCACGCTGCATTATGCAAATTCCATTCAAAGCAACACATAATTTAAATTCTGTAAGCACCAGCTCATACAAGTTTACCGCAAACAACTTCAGATTCATTCCCACAGCAGCTGGAAGAAAAGAACGGCTGGTCGTCCTTTTTGTGTAAGTTTCTCAGACTGAGTCAAGGAGAACTGACCACCCACATCGAACCCCAAGCCAAAGAGAACTTCTAGCCAACCTAAATGAAAGAGAACTTCTCACCCACATCGGACCCTAAATCAAGAATAGTTTTAACTCAATAATAATCCTAAATTCTGCCAGCCCTGGATGTAAGAGCCAACCCCGAATAGGAAGAACTTTTCTTCTTTTTGAAGGACACAAGTTGTCGTCGGCAGACGCCGTTAAGGCGTATCTCCAATCCGAGTTGAAAAGTCTGGCTGCCACATACATCAGACTCCCCAGAGAGCTCTGGCCTGAATCTTGGTTCACTCCAAGTGGCTATCCTCGCTTCAAAAGGCCGATCATTTGATTGCGCAAATCGCTGTACGGACACCCAGAGGCTGGGGCCCATTGGCAACAGTTTCTCGAAGAACAGTTGTGTCTCTTAGGAGCAGTCAAGGTTGAAGAATTTGCATCCACCTTCACCATCCCCATCTTCGGAGGACTGGCATTGGTTGTCTACGTGGACGACTTGATTCTCTCAGGACCAAGTCAGTGGCACGAGCCTTTCTGGGAGGCGTTGGGTGAAAAGGTGCTGATAGATGACATTGGACCGTTGGGTCGTTTCCTTGGTCGACACCACTCCACTGTCGAGGTTGACAATGCAGAGTTCTTTGGCTTTGATATGCGTGCATATGCCGAGGCTACTTTTCAAGAATATTTGGGGGTTGCTAACAACCCAAAGATGAAGACCGTTGCATCACCGTTCCTCAGCAAGGGATTTGTTGGAGCAGATGAGCGTGGTGCTCTGGCAGCTTCTGCCAGCAGCATTTTGATGAGACTTATGTGGTTGACACGCCTTGCTCGCCCCGACCTGCTGAGATTTGTCACTTGGTTGGCGACCATGGTACAGTCCTGGACGCAAGCGTGTGATGCATACTTGTACCGTGCCATGTGCTACCTCGAGTGCACCAAGAACGCTATGTTGCTTGGTCATGCGCGTGATGCACCGCAGAATGTGTTTGAACTTTTCGCAGACGCAGCCTACTGCGGAGACGACAAACACACTCATAGCACCACAGGTGGATGGCTACAGTTGTCTGGCCCGCAGACGTCGTTCCCGTTGGCGTGGCTGTCGAAGAAACAGACGGCTACGTGCCGAAGCACGACTGAGGCGGAGACCGTCGCACTGTCGTATGTACTCTTTGAAGAGGGGTTGCTGTTGGTTGAGTTGTATTCTGCAATGCTTGGGCGTCCCGTGTTGTTGAGACTTCGTGAAGACAACACAGCTTGCGCGAAAGTGGTAACAGCTGGATACTCCAAGAAGCTGAGACATCTCAAACGCGTACATCGCGTGAGTTTAGCTTCAGTGAAGGAGCAGTTGGACCGCGATGACGTGGAACTAAGCCTTGTTGGAACAAGCGACCAGAAAGCCGATGCTTTCACAAAAGCAGTTGAACCTGCACTATGGCCCAAAACCCTCCAAAACCTTGGAGTGCACCTCGATGGTTACACCACCAAACACACCTCAGGGACTGGCCTGAAATTGGACAAACAGATGGCTTTGCAGCCAGACGTTCCAACAACTGATGTACCGACAGGGCACAACGGGCCCCACTCAGCCAGGGCACAAGAAATGGCAGAAACACAAGCCGAAGAGAATCCCACCATATACAGTACCGAACTGCTTTCCGAAACAGCTGGACAGACCGGGATTCAGAACTGATCCCAAGCAGTCGAGCAGCTCAGGAGTCAGAGGGGGGAGAAGAAATCCCTCGTCTAAAACCATAGCCTGGACTTTGAGTACTGACATGGAGTGAAGGGCTTGAGGTCATGCATGGAGGGATTCAGTCAAAGTACTTTTGGATGTCAATCCTGTGCTAGGGAATTGTAATGTGAACACTTACATCATCGGAAATAGACATGTCGAAAGAGACATCTCCGATTGAACTGTGGACTTGCCAAATACTTTGGCTCAAGTGTGCCTGGAAAAAGCTGAGGTTGCTTTTCATGGTCGCGACCGATCGTCCGTTCGCGATTCGAGAGCTGCCCCTATATTGATAGAACCAGGTATACGATCAGCTTTCAACTTATACGTGTACCCTAGGGCTCCAACCACCTTCTCAGAAGGTAGTTAGACCCCTCAAACCACCCCAACCACATTCTCAGGAGGTGGTTGAAGCCCCAGGGATATATACTTATTAAAGCAGCTATACCTCAAAGATATGTCATGTTTGGGTGCCCTCCATTAGCTCACTAGCCGCCAGGCTGACAGACGTGGTGTCAAGGTCGCAAGAGGAGCAGTGTTTCGAACATGTAGCCAGTCGGAAGTCAGCAAGTTTTCTACGCACGACGTTTGGGCCGTAAGACCGACGGGAATTTGCCACCTGGGAAACCCACGGAGGTCGTGTTTGTTCACATGACCTTTACCCTCAAAAACTACCGGCGAACACTGGAAGTCGGTTGCCGAACACTGGCGGTTGCAACGTTGCCCACCTGGTTTTCAGTTGATCAACTGCACAGGTTGCCGTTCTCCGAACGTGGGTGGCACTGCGTGAAGACGTTGCGTGTTCACCAACAACCTCCGCTGCACCGAGGTGTCTCCGCAGAGGACTTCCACGGGAGCATCCAGCGGTGAAGTGCTGTGTTTCCAATGATTCCACACAGCAGGTCCATAAATAGAGCGGATCTCCAAAGACTTGCAGTGATGCCCATTCATCATTCATTCGGATCAGACAGGTCTTCATGTTTATTGCTTGCCAACATTGCTTGCTATCGCAATTTCATCGACTGATGTCAACCCAGCAAAGTCATAAACCGCCACGACATGCCCGAAAACATTGTTCGTTGCAAGTAGAGCAAGAGGCATACCCGGTGTTGATTTTGTGTGCAGCTCTGACTTCAACCGAATCTGTGTCCATGCCTACCTCAACAGACAAAAGAAACCGGATGAGTCAGCGGCGACTAAGAAGTAGATCGATGTCCTTTCCACTTGCATTTACGTAGGGTCAGTCGGTCCATTTCTGACGTTTAGTTTTCAGGAAAGGCTACGTTGCGTGTCCATGTCTTCGTCGAAGGTTTGCAAAGAAGAAACATTGCCAAGGGCTCCAACCATATCCTCAGAAGATGGTTAGACCACCCTGGCACCCACCCCGAACATATTTGAACCGGAGGTCGGTGGAGCCCATCCGGGATTCGCTTCAACCGAGTGAAACTCAGTACATTGTTGCAGATGTGCTCCGTTCTTCGATACCACGTGCTGAATCTTGGACGTCAAAACCGACCGACATTGCATCGACCCATCCTTCATCCCAACACCTTGGCCGTTTGACGCCGATTTTGAAGATATCAAACGAGCTGAAATGATCAGAGCTCACCATGAGGAGGGCTGATGGCCATGCACACAGATCAAGTTCAAGCAGTGACATTGCCGGACTTGGTGGGCAGTTGGCTTATGTGGTCAGTGCCCAATGTGAGAATTGCCCAGACAACTTTCACTGCTCCGACATTCTTTGGACCCGCAAAGACAAGTGCTGCCATTGTTGCTGATAGACCACCCTTACGCATGCCACATTTTGCTTTGCCAGCCCATTTGACCAGAGGTCCCTCGAAGCAGTAGCGTAGGAACACATGTAA